GACAAATACCTTATAAATAATAGAGATCAGATTATACTGAAATAAGATAAAATTCGGTCATATGTCCTATAACAAACGCACATAACAAATAGTGCGTGCCGTTTAAATTTTCATAATATAAATTTAATAGTTACGCTCGTATTTAATACTTTTTCCGGTTTTGAACCGGATATTTCGTAACTCTATTCTGGCTTCAAAAACTTTGTTTGCTCAACAATATCAAAGAGCACGTCAAATTAAGTGCACAAAATGACTTGTTTAGTAGCAGTTCTGATTACAGCAACTACGAAACAACTCATTTGAAAGGCTTCATTTGTTAACAAAAGAAAGTTTTCAATTCTCTACTTCATTTTCTATAATAAAAGGTTTCAAAAGGTTCCCCTAAAATCATTTCTGTAATAATCATGCTGAAACTTAGGCTATATTCTGATATCTAAACCAGGATAATTAAAAACGTATTATACCACAGACGTTTCCTGTAGCAAAATATGATTTCAGCATAAATCGAATACATTAATTTTGATATGAAATGTAGTAGCCTAAATTTTCAGAAAATATATAGTTTAATATAAAGTAGAATAATATTACATGAAAGAAATTTATATTTAATTTATGCCCATAAATTATCTGTTTATTATTATACAACTGGACACTTTTTAATTCAAGTTATTATCTATAGAAACATGAAATCGTGTTGTTATACGTTTTTCTTCTTTTAATTTTCACTTGAACACTGTTATTTACATTTTATATTTAACTAGCAGACCCCGCCACGCGTTGTTGTGGCTCAAAATGTACCTATTATAAATGTATAACACTTCCCCTGTGGGGGGAAATTTTACGAAAAATTTCTTCTTAGTGTACATTCTCTTGACGTACCCTATTAAAACGCAATCAAAAACGCAAAAACCCGCATCTAAAATAGTATAAATAGAAGCAGAGTTCTTTACTGTAAGCCTTAATCCTGTTTCTCTCCCCCGCGGGGAGAATATCAAAAAATCCCTTCTTAGTGTACATTCTGTTGACATACTCTATTAAAACGCAATCAAAAATGCAAAAACCCGCATCTAAAATAGTATAATAGAAGCCAAGTTTTTCAGAGTAAGCCTTAATCCTGTTTCTCTCCCCCGCGGGGAGAATATCAAAAAATCCCTTCTTAGTGTACATTCTGTTGACGTATCCTATTAAAACGCAATCAAAAACGCAAAAACCCGCATCTAAAATGGTATAAATAGAAGCAGAGTTCTTTACGGTAACCTTTTCCGTAAAGCTTACCGTAAAGAACTGTCCATCCCCCATGTTTAACGGAATAATATATAGCCTATGTCCACCCTGAAGTTCCATTCTAAATATTGGTGAAAGAATTTTTGAAATCGGATGAGTAGTTTCGGAGATTACCTGCTGCATACAAACTAACATACATACAAACATTACCTCTTTATAATATTAGTATAGATTAAAACAGGAAAATATTACAATAACATCAAAAATGGCTTTTAAAAACAATAAAATATTAGGAAGAGAAACATTCACTTTCAAAAACTATTAATGTTCCTCCTTCTAAATATTACTTATTTTTTTGTTTTTTCTGCTATTCCTATCACTTTTTACAAGTCGTTAATTTCCGCCCACTTCGAATTTTGATATTAAAATAATAATAAAATAAATATTTAATTATCTTAACGAAGAGACAAAAAATAATAATTTTTGAAAGTTACAGATAGAACTGAATAATTAAATTTGAATTTATTGTACATAAGGAATATAAGTTTATTAAGTAAGAAATAAGTAGACATTAAGAAATTACATTTTATGTATTAGGCTACGTTTAAATGACAAAAAAGAAAAAATGCTTAATTATATCGCAAATAAATCTTATCATTCATTACTATTTAGCATTGATTTTAAATTGATTTTAAGCATATTTAATTCAATTGTTTAGAATCAATCAACAGATAGTACAAAGGACTTATATTACTCATTTTATTATCATTTAATCTAAATTTTAAGTGCCATAATTCAACTTGTAGTTGGCATTCTATCAAATACAAAAAACTGATAAGTTTTTATTTAATAAAAATGATTATGTATGTAAAAATTGGCGAAACCATCTTCAAGAATAAATTTTTTTATCAATTTTTTCTTTTTTTTGGAAAAATATATACATCTATTGATAAGTTAATTTTAATTTTTGATTTTAGTATAATGTCTAATAATTCTGTAAAAATATTTTAAAAAATTCTTTTTACAAAGTTGTTATTTTGTACAAATTCAAAAACCAGGATACGCTTCCGATCCAGAATGATTTGCACTCTTCCTAATATGTTCTATATATATATATATTTTTTTTATTTGTAAATAACCGATTTTATTTTTGAAGGTGCAATTAACATGCCGTTTTAATATAGGCCTACCGTATGTATATTTATATTATAGAGAATAGTTTTCTCTAAATATTGACAGTATTATTTAATATTTTATAGATTTTTCTGTAATTATTATTTTCAGAGAGTCACGATGTTATCAAAGTCATTTTTTTCTGAGATAAAGCTCAGAAAACAATGGTTATATAAAATATGATAAATGACTAATATAATAAGCAAATCAAAACATTTATTATTAAAAGAATTAATAAATTTTGTACTATTGTTAGTATAAAATCTACATATGAACAAAAACAATACTTTAAATACAATAATAAAAGTTAGGTTATATTTCGTGTTATTCAAATAAAATATCGTGCTAATTTCTTTTAAAATACAGAATAATTAGTAATAAAAATATTACGTATTTTGAATTTCTAGTTAATGTCTCATAAAATCTATTTATTTTCTAAGTTTCTCTGTTAAACGATATCTTACGTAAACAGTCATATCTCTATTAAGTTATAGATACTAACATTCGCTTCTTCTGGAAATCTCATTTAACAAATCAAAGCCACACATTATTTTTCTAAAAAAATATGAACTACAGAAAATGATTTTGAGATAATAAGAAAAATAATTAACAATATTAGTAATTAAATATCACATTTTCATGATATAATAATTCCATGAATAGTTCGAGTTATGTCTAATTATTTATTAATTTTTTTTAAAGCGATCATTTATATCTACGAATAAAAAGAATTATTTAAATTATCACAAAACAAAAATATATTATTTTTTTAAATTATTAAAATGTTATCACCGTGACTTTATAACATCTTCTCTAAATAAATTTATTACGTTAAACCATATGTTTATAAATTATACAGCTGGAACTCGATTCTTATGTCCAGTTATCCAATGGATCGGTGTAAAAACTTATTAATAAAATATCAGAATACATGAAATAATTGAAGGTCGCTCTCTGTAAAATAACAATTTAAAAATAGAACGTAATCATAATGTCATTTCTTAAAAAAAAATTATAAAAATTATATTAAAGAAGTTCGATTACATATATTAATATATATATATATATTTTATGATGTTTTATATCTAAAACTCTATCATTGTCAGAAAGAAAAAGAGGGCCTCTCGATTGATGAGCATGGAAAAACTTCATACGTTGTTAATTTCTTTTGATTAGATAAAAAGCTTCTTCCTAGTCTATATGAGTAATTTACTCACCAGATGTTTTAAACGTGGAATTTCTATGTAGAGTAAAAAATACATACTTTATTAAAAGATAAACGAATAAAAATATGTAGAAACTCAATAATTTTTGTTTCAGTAGAAAAGACAAATAAAACAAAGAAAAAAAGTGAAGTATATTATCATGTGTTTAAACGGGAAACTTTACTATACAATATTCTGTACAATTCGCTTTGATAGGAATTATTAGCGCAGAAACAAAGCTGTGCAATAGCACAATGTATAAGTATGCTATAGTTACAATATACTGTATAATATATTATTTTGCTTGATTTGCAAATATGCATNTTTTAATTATTTTAAATACGACATATCGATTAAATTATTATTTATACCATATATGAAAAATTACCAACAAAAACAATGTATTAACTTTAGTATTAGTAACATTATTTAGACTTTGTGACTATAATCCGTTTAACAGTTCAAAGTGCTTATTATGTCAACTAATAAGTAAAATAGTAGAATTAGTCATATAAAATATAATTTTTTACAGTTGTTTAGATGCGATTTTATACTAAATATATTAATTTTTTTTACAAGTTAAAGGCATTTTAAAATGAAAGCAGATTGTAGAGGAACTGTTTAATTTTATTATATAGATATTTATTTATTTGTTTTTTTTGTTTATTGAGGTATGGCTTTGGTTGTAGCATTGTTACATCTTTTATAAAGAAAAGGTTCTTTTTAATCCGTGTTAAATAGTAATATTAAGAGCGTATCTTATTCACAAGAAATAAAGATTCTCCATGCTTTATATACCAGGCGTGAAAACAGAAAGGAAAGATTTTTTTTTAAGTTTTCATGTTTAGATTTTATCTTTATTGATGTTACTTCCTTTAAAAACTACTTATTATTTATATAACAGGTTCTATTAAAGTTATTTTATACGAAAATTATCTTATACAATTTTACAAATATAACTATATTTTATAAATAACTACGCTATGTAATTTATATATATATTATTTTTCTTTTTTAAATTATAAAGAAAAAAAGTTTAAAATATAACTCATGCGAGATGGAAATAATTAAATATTATTATTAAAAAAATTTTAATGTATAAATTTAAAAAAATAATAATAAATTTAAATATTATTTTAAATTGCTATTTTGTAATTTATACGTCAGTGAAAATGCGTCAATACTCACGTGTAAAATTTAAATATAATTAAAAAATTTCACGTGAACAGTGACGTATTTTGAATTTTTATAATTAAAAGCTTTTTTTTTTGTTTTTTTCTTGGATTGTTGCAATCTATTCACGTGACTAATATATTGTGTCATTTAGATTTCCTTAATTAATATTTAACGAGTAACTAGTTAATAGTTTTAATTTTATTTTATAGTGTTTAATGGCACTTCCGAGATCTTATCGGCTACATACTGTACATTTATTTAAATATGATTCATAATAATGATGATGAGTTGATGACGTGTCTTCGTTTACGCCCCCTGGTAGTCAGTACCGAGCGAAGATGGCGGATGGCATTCAGGTGAGGAAATTTCGATGGAACTAAGTATCAAGTTATTTAGATAATACGATGTTAATTGAATTAAATTATAATATTTGATAACTCGTGAGTGTTTTTAAGCTCAACGAACGGTTAAATTAATCAAAATTTGACTTTTTATGTTTTACGTAATCTGAGATTTTGTTATTTGAATCTTGATTTGTCATTAAATATTGTTAAATTTGATTAAAAATGCGTTATTTAAATATTTATTTTGTTTTAGAAAAAGCATTGCTTCTGTTATGAATAATTAATTACACTACTTTAAAAGCTGTTGTCACGTGATGTAAATAGAATATTTATAATATGTCGATTTCAGACTAAAAAGCACATGGATGCCATTTATTCATTTAACTTTATTGCTTATAAGTTGGTTACAATCTTAATAGATTTCTGTCCATTTGGACATGTCGAAAAGACATCTGTCACAGTCTGTATTAATAACTGAAACTATCTGCTCATTAACTAATGAGAAATTTCTACAATCTGACAGAATAGATTAGATAAAATGGCAAAATAAACTGGGGATTGTCTTGTTAAACTTTATTTAATATGAAGACCATTGCCCTCTCTCTGTAAGTGGAGCAACAAATGATTTTTGAAGGATAGAATGTTTTCTTATATTTAAATGCATTCATCAGACAATTATTAAAGTGTTTTAATCAAATTTAATAAATTTTCTAGTCAGCTATGTAAATCTCTACAATCTTTGATGTTAGAATTATACATTGATCTATACACACATGTATTTTGTTTAGGTAACTATACAAAATGTATTATATGATACATTTGATTATCAATTCTTTTTTAATATTGATATTTAGTGCTGTAAATTATTTTTTTATTTAGATTTTAAAATAATTATAACCCAAAAATAAATTTGAATGCTAAAGCTTAATGTGTTGATTGTATTAATAAGAATAATGCAGTTAATAGCTAATAGTTATAAGGATCGTTTTAATTCACTTTGGCTTGTCGTATTATCAAAGATGTACCATTTTTCATCATAGTACATGAGAAAATTGTCTTTTTTTTTATACCTTTTTTTCTAATATTTACAAATATTTTGTTTCAGGTATTGTAATTACTCTTCCAATTTTAGTATTCATCTGTCATTCCTTGATTTGCTAACTTATATCTTGTAATTCACATGCAAAATAAAATTAAATATTTTCAAAATTTATTCAGACAGATTTAATAATTAAAATCTCTGGTATTAATAAATGAATAATTCATATCAATATTTAATGTGAACTAAATTAGAAGTTGTTTTTTCATACTCTTAATAGAGTATTAAAAAAACAACTTAATAAAGATAAAAAAATGAAATATTTAATGCAGTAATAATCAATTTTCATTAAATTTTTTTTTTTATGTGAACATTTGGCACTTGTTCTGAAATTATAAATGTCATTAATAATATAGAATGACTGATAAACATTTATGCATCTGTAGCATAAACATTATTTATTATTTAGTTTAAAAATAAAAAAGTGAAGCTAGTAAATTTAGTAAAAACATAAAATACAAAAATATATTTATAATAAAAGAAATTTAACTTACAATACAATAAATAATTAGAAACCATCAATTACATTTTGAAAAGCTTTTTTAAAAAAAAAACATTTTACAACCTTTAGATATTGAATATTTGATGTACTTAATCCATTTAAATTTTCAATTTATTTTTTAGCATAAGATTTAGGTCATTTTATAGAAAAAAGTTGATTGCTTTGATTGCTCTTTAATCCAACTATAACTATTGAAAAATTTTGCAGTTTATGGTAAAAATATCAAATGATGATAATGGTGATAAATTAGTTTAAATAGTACAGTAATAATATAGTAATATTTTTATTACTGCAATTCTAGAATTCTGTTTTTTATTGTACAAATCTTTGAAGAAAAAGAAAATAAAACCTACAGTTTTTAATAATAATAATTTATAAAGACAGAATACTATAGGCTATTTTGTCTTTCATAATAAATTACTTTTAAAATACGAAGAAGAGGAAACTATATAATAAAATAAAATTTATGATTTCAGATATAATGTAATATTTAAAAAAAATAAAATTACATTTATATTCTCATTCTTATATTTAATAAAATTAGTTACGTATCACAGAATTATAAAATAATTTTTTATGACATATTGATAAATTCAGTTTTGTTCTAAAAATTTATTTTCACAAATTCTAATTTTTTTTTAATATATTGTCAATCACTTCAATTGAAAGTAATTGCAATGCATATAATTGATACCTGCATTGCATTGTTAAAAATATCTAACTTACTAAACACAAAATCAGTGTGCCTGAGAAATTTGATCTATGAATTTTTGCTCATTAATCTGAATAGAAAGATTAATTCCATTAATTTCTCAGAATGATATTTGATTCATGTTAAATGATGAAAAATAAATGGATAATAATTGTTATCTAAAATACAGTAAGCCCTTGATTTAACAAACTTCAGGTTTTTCTTATCAAACATTTAAACCTGAAATTTTTAAACCTTTTTATTTGTAAATAGTGCATACCAAAAATATTGGATTAAAGAGTCAATGAGCATAAATTACTTAATGTACTGTATATTATATTAATTTATTCATACTTATACATAACAGTATTTTAACACATCTTACACATTTTAAGTTTGTAATCAATAAGTACTTTTGACATTTCAAAATGTTATTGTCAGGTTGAGCATATTCCATTTGAATTACAATTTTTAAAAAAGTACATTAACAGATTTCAATGGCATTGTTTAAATATACACATGTTTCCAGCAATATTAATATTGTTGGAAATGTGTGAAAGGGTCAGTAAAGTATAAATTTATACAATAGTTCCAGCTAGAAAGAATAAGAAGTTTTTTATTGTTTAAATCATAGCATGTAGTTTTTAAATGGCACATCTGGAATCTGTTAACATAATTTTTAAAAAATAATAATTAATTTGAATGATATACACTCAATCTGAAGATGACATTTTGACATGTTCTTGTTTGTAATTAAAAACTTTGCAAGTAAACAACTCTAATGCTGAAAGACAGTTTTGTTTATTCTTAATTTTGTTTAAGTTTTGTGTCATTAAAGAGCATATTTTTATTTAGTCATAGCCATTATCTGAATCTAATGCATTCCTGAAAACAAGTATTCAAATATCATAAATTTGGATATAACAAGATTTTTTATTATTTCTTATGGGAAAAGTTTAGCTAATTCCTGGCCCATCCAAAAAACCCTAATTGATTTGTCTAAATGTTACTAAAACACAAATAGGTAAATAGATATTTTTCAATAAGCCTAAGATTTTGATATGATGTTAAACAGTACAACTCCAATTACCTTATTAGCAATCAGTGTCAACCAATTATCTTAATTACATCATAAGGATAAGCTTGTAAGTAGTAATACAATGAATAAAGTGTGCGATGCCTTTTTATTAGGAATTATCAGGTGACCAAAAAGTTTGTGTGGTTTTTTTCAATTCTAGTAATTTTTACTAGAATGATAACATGAGTCAATACAAAGCCAATAGCATATGTCATACTGAATCAGGCAAGTGAAGTCAAAAAGGCACAGAAGACAGTTCATGAAACAATGAAGAATGAGAAAAAGATGGCTACTCTGAATGCAGTTATTCAAGGGCATTTATTCTATGAGTTTAAACTGGTCTTGAATGTAATACAAGTAGCTTACAAGGTATATAGAGCATTTGGAGAGAACACAGTGAGTGAATTAATGGTCCAAAAATGGTTCAGAAAGTTTGTGTTGGTGATGACATTCTTGAAAGTGTGCCTCATGAGGGAAGACAGCATTATTGATGAGGATGAACTTATGGTGATGACCATAGAGTTGTATTCAAGACAAACATGCCAAGAGCTTGCAAAAATATTTAGTGTAAGTGATGAAACCATTCATTTGCATTTGCATTGCCTAGGAAAAGCATGGAAGCTGAGCAAATGCATTCCACATGAACTGAATGCTGATAACATGCTCCATAGGCTCATTGTCTGCTTGTTTCTGCTTTCATGACATAATAATAAGCCATTTTTGGACTAGTTGTTGACATGTGATGAAAAATGGGTTATATTTAACTACAAACATTTCTGTCATTTGTTATCATATAGTGAATCTCGGATAATAACCAATGATAGGAGCATTTGATGCTGCATTTGCCAAAGTCCAATATCCATCAATAGAAAACTTTTAGTTGTGTATCTGGTGGTCTACAGTTGAAATCATTCATTATGAGCTTCTTCTCTGGCCAAATGATCACTGTGGATGTATACTTGGCATAACTGCAACAGGTTCAAGATACAATGCTCCAAAAACAGCCTGCACTTGTTAATTGCAAAAGCACTGTGTTCATTCAGGAAATGCACAGCCTCACACTACACAAGTGACACAGGACAAGCTCCACAGTCTCATTTGGGAAATTCTATCCCACTCTCCTTATTCACCAGTCATATCATCATCATCATCATCATCATCATCATACAATTATTATTTTTTTTTTTTGCACTTGACAATCATATGCACAACTGAACAGAACTGGAAACAGACTTGAAGGATACAAATAAGTTGCACTAACCTTGTATAGCTTTGCAGTTAATTTTAGAAACGTAACACTAATGTTTTCGATTCACCCTAGGACCTTCTTCAGGTGTTCTATAAAAATTTTTCTGGTTAGTGCAACGTATTTGTATTTATTATTGCTTTTTTCATCAGATGGATTAGACTTAAAGAATTTCTTCACTTCTAAAGGTTGGGACTTGTTTGGTATGGTATTTACAAACTTGCATCTTGTTAGGAAAAGGTTGTAGATTGTGATGGTGCTAACTAAAAGTACCTTCATTTACCGTTTTATGCATGTTTCAATTTTAACCTCAAAAACCTCATGAATTTTTTGATCACTTGATATGTATGAACTATATATTTTTTAAATGTGCAGTGGATAAAAATGAAAATATTT